TTACACTAGTTCTTGTTTACTGACTATAACAAAGGTGTGTCTTATCATGTATGACAAGTTCTTGTTTACTGACTGTAACAAAGATACTTTTGTCCTGTCAGTCTTTGTATGTTCTACAATCTTTAAGCTTAGTGTTTAACACTCTACTAGTACTGTTCTACTTTTTTTTTAATATTAACAAAGTAGTCTTTGTTACAGTATGTGTTAGTAAGGTTCTACTAGCCTTTCTGAATACCTTCCTACTATTAGTAAGGTTCTGACCTTCCTGAACACAATTCTGATATTAGTAAGACTGTTCTACCTTTCTGAACAATTGCTAAATTTTTACAGTCTTACTGTGACTATTACTTACAGCTCTGAAATGAGTTCTATCTGTATTCTAAATACTTATAACCTAGTCCTAAAACTCTTAATACTAGATAGTGTCTAACACAGTTACAGTTACACTACCCTTTTCTAAAGATACAGTCTACAGTTCTTCTACTCTCCTACTAGTGTCTATTAGTCCTAGTTCTAGTAGAGAGAGTAGCTTAGAAGATTCAGAGCCAGATAGTAATAATAGTGAGCTACCCAATCTAAGCTACCTATCTGGAAAAATGTCCTACACTGTACTAACTATAGTCTAAGTAGTCTAGAACAATATAATAAAGCTCTCTATACTAACACTAAGTAATCTGACACTATTAGTCCTCTAGTTGTAAATATTAGTGTTCTAAGAGTATGTAACTATAAAGGTAATTAATTTGGCTCAGACTATTCTGATTATAATAGAATATCTTCAGGACAGCTACCTACACTAATAGTACAAATACAGACAGACTCAGTTTGAGTCTATTACTCTAGATAAGTTCTATAGGGAGCTTTAAAGTAAGATACTCTTAACAGACTAGATTAAGCAGACTCAAAATAAGCTTCTCTCTACTAGACAGAAGAACTAAGACTTTTAGAAATAGTAGTTAGAGGTGACTAGAATCAACTTTAGTTTCCTAGAACTATGTTACCTCTTACTAGAACACTTCTATGAACTTCTAGAGGCTAACCTACACTCAGACCTACAGTTTAAGCTATGTTTGTGTCTGACTATATTAGTTTTAAGCTATACTAAACAGTCTACTATATAGATTAAGAAGGCCTAACTAGTAAGTACAGTAAATGTATAGTTAGAGAATCTGTTAGATTATCTCCCAACCCCTCCTCCTGTTCTGAGCAAGGAATCAGTCTCCTAAACCTGTTTATAATAGTAGTTAGAGTATATACACAAGTTATTTAAGTAGTAAACAGTCAAGTATATAAAGTTCTAGAGTAGTATAGAAGTAGTTCTTAGAGTCAAGTAGGCCTAAAAGAAGGAACAGGAGAAGGTGTGTACTAAGAAGTCTAACCTCTTAGAACCTAGTCAGAAGTCTAGTTCTAACACTAGAACAAATACACTCTACCTTTCCCTAACAGAATACTAGCTACTAATAAAGTACTAAGAGTGTTTCTATTACTATAAGCTGTTCATAAATCATAGAGCTGATAAATGCCTAACAGGCTTACTAAAGCCTGAGAAAGTTGTTCTAATTATAGAAGTATACATTCAGTCTATACACTCAAAGTAGGTAATAGTCTTAATAGTAGCTAAGGAGTCTACAGTTCTTAAACCCTCTAAGGAAGAAACCTCTAAGTATGTCTTACTCTCTTAATCTCTTATAATCCTCAAATGCTAACTCCTTACAGAACACAACTTCTCACCTACTTATGTCTGACTTATAATTGACACTAGTTGTATTATAGTATTGATTGACAGAGTACTAGTGTTCTGAATAGGTCTAAAGCACCTCCTACTCAAAATTCCCTTTATTATAACACTAGTAATTAAGTCAGACAAGAGTTCTAAAACTCAGGTGACAGAATGGGCAAAGTTACAGGTACAATCTACAGACAGGGAGTAGACATCTAAAGTTGTAAAGGCTTGTATAGTTAATAATTTATGTAATAAAATGACTCTTATAAACCTATTTATACAAAAGAACTGTCTAATAATTAAGGTAGAAGAGTAGGCAGTAGTATAGAAGGGATTCAGATACAACCTAATAAAGTCTTGTAAGGACCAGACTATAAAACAGGTCTTAGAACACACTCTAGAACTAGCCTTAAAACAAGTAAGAGTTCTGAGTAACAACCCTAAGAGTAAGCTCCTACTAGTATAGTTAATAGTAATAATAGTCTGTAAACAGGTAGAGATTCTAACAGTAGTAAACTATTTTAAGAAACTAGACTAAGAGATAAAGCTATAATACTAGGACTGTTTCCTAGAAGAGATGCCTCTAGTAGTAGGACTCTTAGAAGGGACTATCTACTATATACATCTTAAGGATCCCTCTAAGGTGATGATAGTACAGTTATATACTTACTCTTAGAAATATTAGAAAGTATAGTACACTCTGATTGACTAGTATGTATAGGCAGAATAGTTATAGTACTCAGACAGTCTGTACTTATCTCTAGCTTTCCTGATTCTAAAGACAGGTCTAACAGAACTTCTGTACATAGTGTGTAATTATTGAGTACTCAATAGTAATACTATTCAGAACCATACTCTCTTACTCTAGATTAACAAAATTCTTAATAATTGTCTTAGAGAGTGTATATATACTAAGATTAATATAACTAATACTTTCTTCCAGACTTAGATAGACTCTAAAGATATTCTACTAACAGTAATAAATAACCTCTTCAGACTATATGAGTAGACTGTCATACTAATAAGTCTATGTAATATACTAGCCAACTAGTAGTAGAGAGTCACTAAGGCTCTCAAGCACCTAATTAGACACATCTACTATGTATACTTAGATAACATTATTATTTGGTCTCAGTCTAAAGTAGAGTATATAGTCAACATTAGTAAGGTAATGGAAGCACTTTAGAATAAAGGACTTATCTGTTCTAGCAAAAAGACAAAACTGTTTTGTAAGTTACTAATGTTCCTTAGACACCTTATTATAGAATAAGGTGTGGAAGCTAATCCTAAGAAAGTCAAGCAGATCCTATAATGGCTCTAGCCTTAGAATGTACAGAATGTCTGTAAATTCCTTAGGCTTCTAAGATTTATTATAACATACTTACTTGTCTTACTCACTCTCTCTCTCAGTCTGTTCTACAAGTTCCAACTATGTTCTGGTGCTTGTGTTCTGTATTTCTGTTGTGTAGGATAGTTGTAGCCTGGGTCCCCTTACTGAGCCTTTAGGTCCCCTCTATACTGTTACTGACATTATACTTTGAATCTCTATCCTGCTGAAAGAGAAACTTGGCACATAGAATGTTGTAGTCAGAAAGGGTGCCAAGAAGTGATTTGTTGAGGATTTGAATATATTGGCTAGAGTCCATATTCTTTTCAATATGATGAAGACAGTCAACACTATGTGTAGTAATACATCCCCAAACTATAAGATGTTCACTACTATGCTTGATGACCTTCTTTACATTCTTTGCATAGAGTGACTCCCCCTCCCTCCTGTACACAATATTCCTTCCATCCTGCTTGAATAGATCGATTTTCGTCTTGTCTGAGAAAATAACCTTTTCCCACTTTTTAAGAGTCTAAAACCAATGTTTGCTAGCCTAATATCTCCTACAAGTGATATGCTTCTTAGACAAGTATGGTTTAATGAGAGGGACACAGGCCACTATTCTATATCCTTTGAGAGTACAACAAATAGTTTGTACAGAATCAGACAGGAAGTACTTGTGTTTAAGGTTGCTAGAATCCTTTACTTTGTCTGAAGCAAGTAAATAGGCAGTGTAGCATACTTTATGAATGTTGAATTTGTGTGGACAGCCTGGTTTGGGTTTGACATAGTATGGGTTAGGGTTTTTGAGCAGCTTACAGTAGTTCTGGGAGACTGTCAATACATTACAACCGAGTTTTTGTGCAATTTCAACATTGCTCAACCCTTAACTCTTCCAGTCTAAGATACATTGCTTTTTTGTTGGTGTAAGATATGGAGCCATTTCAGCAGATTCAGAGTAGTCTGAATTGAGCAAAAGACAGAGTATTATTGATAGTGATAGAGTACTAGTATGGTGCAATGTTTTGCAGCATGGTATGACCAAAAAAAATGCATGTGACCATTTGCACAATCTTGCAAGTTTTCTCCTATTTTAGAATATATATAGTTATTTTTTTAACTCATTTTTTTTGCTATATTATACAGTAAATAATAGTACTTATATCTCATAATTATAGTTCTTAGTTGTCTGTATATAATCTTTTTTAATTAATAGATTAGGTCTGTGTAATACTTTTGTCAAATACTGTAATACTTCTCATAGGGAAAATTTGAAAGGAGAGGAGGCTGATCCTCAGACATAGGATAATTATGATGTAGGGTTTGTGTTTCTTTGAGATTTTAGCAAGACAGACAGGCAAATGAGTGAGTAACTATATTTTGTTATGCTACTGTGATATGCTACACTGGAAACCACGCAAACCACGCAAACCGTGGGAATTTATCCACTGGTATGGATACTGTGGATCCCCCTATCCACGCCAGTCCCTATGTGATACTGACTAATGATACTTGTTTCTCACGCACGCAACATCATCGTTGACTAGAGCACTGCAGAGGCTCTAAACACGTCACAAATATCTATAGAGGTTGTCGAATCCCTCGAATCTATCAGTATATCATCTGGTCGCTTCTCTGTCTTCCATGACAAAACAATTAGGAGCATACAATACGGGGTTGCATGTGACTATGTGCCTACTTATTATTGTAATTCGTGTTCGAATGCCGTGTACATCCACTCAAGAGCACAAATTTGAACGTTTCTGAGAAGAGTAAAGATATGGTATGCCACTCATCCAAAGCTCTTGGCAACCGAAAATAGAGACATGCTCCTTTCGTAGTTCTTGGACGTTGTCCTTCGCCGATCAACCCCGTGTCTTCGCTATTAGACGCTTGTACTGATGGGAGACCCCAATTTTAACGAGTATTACTCTGTAGGAAGGCCCCGCAATGATCGTTCGGACTTTGTGGGCCTCAATCGCCATCTTTCGTTCCACTACAGAATAAAGTCTTTACTTTTTCGAATTCCCTTGATAGGTTTCTTACCTTCTATCCGGTTGTCCCGCGCTGCCCTGGTCAAGCTCACACTTCGCTGCTATTCCGGTCTTCTGTTAATGCGAGCACGAAAGTTGGTTAGCTGAAGGATATCTGTTAGACAAATGCTGTTCACGGTCTTAGAATCCCTTGCAGTCGATGTCAGATAACTGTGAGGCAGGCATTACGTCATTGGCATTCAACGAGTGACTCTCAAGGCCTATAGCTTCAATCTGGTCTGTATTTCATCTTATCTCTGGTTCTCGAAACATGCATTACCAGCTGACAAGCTTTATCTGCTACAGTAGGGGAAACCACGGTCCGAGGCAAGGGCCAATCGCAGAGGATCTGGTTAATGACGGCTATTCTTCTCACT